GGTCTCTGGAGTCGTCATTCCCAAAAAGCTTGGAACGAATGCCTGGGAACCTGATGATGCACTCAAGCCTCCCCTATTCTATCCTAAGGATATTGAAGCGTCGGTGAAAACCGCCGACGCAATCCTGCCCTTCTACACGGACACAATCGATTGCATCGATCATAGATCCAAAAGCCATACTGGTCTTCGTTAAGGTCGATATTCTCCGGTTAAAATGCGCTTTGGACAGCTACAATTCTTTTAAAAAGCTTTTTCACACTGTCCAACAGGTACCTGTATCTTGAGCCCGCAGGGCATCTCTCCATCGGGGCGTCCAATTCTCCATTTCCCAAGGAATTTATTCCCTATTAAAGGCGTTTTAGACAAAAGCCGAATTCCCTGAACATCCTCACTCATAGCCGGATCGGGACATCGTCCGAGCTTGAAACCTTCCGCTTCTTTATCTTTCTGAGGAACTTCTCAGCTCTGGAGCACACTCCTCCACTACTCGGAGAACAGGGAGCAACACACTTCTTTCTGCAGGTGAAAAGAAGATGGCCACCACCCTATCCAAAAGATGGCGATCCACTTTTTGCATTATCAGGAATATTTATCAAGCATCATCCGATGCGGGCGATCCGACTCTTTGCGTCCCTAATGGACCGCTCCATACAACTCCTCCATTGTGTTCTGTTTATCTGACTTCTGCAACAGAAATGCGTATAACATACGATGAACGCGGATGCATCTCTTCCTGAAATAGTTCAACTCTGCTATCCAGTATATAGTGCCGAAGAACCAGCTCGAAATGGCAAGCATCCCTTATGTTTCACTTGAGCCAGCCGTCTCCATTATCGGCGGACTCCGTCGCCGCTTCCATCCTCCAATTAGCCACCATAACAGCCGCCATCATCTAGTCATCGACACAGCGAGTGAAGCTCCATGGTAGCAAAGTATGCGTCCCTCTTCCCTGAAGGCAATGAACTATAGTAGTAACTTCATAACTGATCAACAATCGGGGCCGAAACTGGTCAGTTGCGAGGGTGGTGTATTCCATGAATTGGCATCGAAAGAAAAAGGATGAGTATCAATTGTTTCACCGATACCAGGCATCAATATCGCTTGTTTTGTGTGTGCCAGTGTTGTTTCACGTGGTCACATGGTAAAGTAAGGTAGAGTGGGGATAGCTCCAATTCCAAGAATTGGCGGGAATAAGCGTTGGTCAGTTACGAGGTTAGAAATCTGGTCAGTTATAAGATCGCTATATTCCCCTCGCAGATGGAAAGTTACTTTCATCCTTATATAGTAAATCGAGATATATAATTTCTCCTCCTGGGCTATCTTCCATCCCAACACATGAGCGGCAACGTGTCAAACTCTAGAACATTAAGTCCTGAGCCAGGCGAGAGCGATTAAGATTGCCGTGGAGAAGCTTCTTCAGAGCCTTTTTTTCCCTACTTCAGAGCTAGCAGGCGCTTCTCTTTCTCGATACTGGGAGCCTGAATCACTCTCGCTCCACGGTTCTTCATTCTAGTCGGCGGTTTATATGCCGTTAACATCATCCTATGCAAAAATGGTCTACCCAGTGTCAGACACAATGGACTCCGAGGAGCCACTGCTTCGCATTCCCTCGCACGGTGGCTGTCGCATGTGCCCCATCTTGAGGCATTTGAAATATTGCAGAGGCTACCGATACGCAGGTGGTTACGACTACCAATAACTATTTTCCCTTAGACTCCTTTTTGTAACAATCTTCCAGACCACCGCTAAGGGACACCTTATTCACATAGCTGTAAGTCTGAAGGAAAAGATTTTAATCTCCGTCTCCGAATATTCCTTTGTCAGGGCGGTAGTCTGCACAAGCCTCTGAAAGAATGACCGAGTCATCCGATCACATTTTGTGCGATCACCACTTTTATAAACGAGTCTTTCAAGACCCGCCAACTTCTCGACCAGGTGAATAGCTTTTTCGTCGCTTTTCTGGCCTCGAGAATGAGCGCCGCTCTCTCAGACGAATTCTATCTATTCCCATCTCTGTAAAGTTAATGGCTTTCTTCGCTCTGGTCACTGCCTGTGCATACGTATACTTCCCTCTTGCCGGTATGGTTATTGTAACTGCTGCCGGTTTGTCATCCCTCTTTTTCTCTTCTTCTTAGGAGCAAATGCACTTTCTTTTGCAGAATTCTCGTACCTGGAATCCTTGTCCTCATCAGTAATACCATAACCGTGCGCTGGTTCGCCGATTTTTCCTTCACTTTTCTTTTCTGTTCGCGACCATATCCGACTAAGTCCTTCCTTCATCCGAAGAAAACACCGACACTACTGACCTCCATGGAGGAAGCTTTGATCAATGCTAAGGATTTCACTTTTATCGCCTTCTTTCCATCACTGCGTATGTTCTCTGTTTCCACTGTTCTGTCTTCACCAGTTGCGGAGGGCTGAGCAAACCCTCCTCAGCGGAATGGGAGGAAGAGGATATCCCGCATCACTATTCGTAATTTTTCAGTTTTTTTTTTTTTTTTTTTCGAGAACATCTTAAGCTTTTCTAAAAGGTTTCAGGGCCGTTCTCCCACCTTTTTCTTCATATTTCCCCCGTGACCACCGGAACTGCCCGAAATGGGGCGGGGGGAAAGCGGCGGAGGGACACAAGTCTATATGGAATCTTAGAAGACACTACATTTCCCACCTCTTTATCAACAGCGCCGCCGACCCCCATCTCATCCTGGTGTTTAAAACCTTCTCCTTGAACGTTCTATGGAAGGGCAAAAGAGATTCGCTCCTTTCTTGAGGATAAATATCTACTCCTTCCCTTTCTGTTTCTGTCTCCGATATCCCTCCTCTCTTCTCGGTGATCCGTTTTTTGCTATGTAAACCTGTCATGAAGAAGAGTCTGAAAGAAGAAGAGTCTCTTCCTCCGATTCTCTGGTCCTATAGTATTCATCCTAGAATACCCAGATAGTTGGTTCTTAATGATTTCAGTTCGAGTCTCCGCACTGACCTACCGTTTCTCCTTCTCTGGATTCCGCCATAACAGTTCATCCCATTTAAATTTATTTATGTTTATTGTGCCTATTTTCTTCATATGATCTGTAGCCAAAACCTTCAAAAAGCTCCTAATTAACGCAAAACTAATCACTCTTGGCAGAACCGCTTGTCAAGAGTAGGCTGATACTATCGGGGAATCACCAGTTACCCCGGAATTGACTACTAACGAGTGATGCGTCAATTAGTCCTCTCCGTGCCCTCATGCCCGGAAATATCTTCTCACCGTGCGCCATAGTTTGAAATCAAGGATTTTGTAGAAAGATTGTATTCATGGTCCAACCAATCCATACAAGACGCCCGGTTTTGCGAGACATGACTAAGAAGATTACGATATGAGATGGGTTTGTGGCTCCTCAGGAATTATGATAGGAAGAAAAAAGAGAAGGAGATAGATAGGAAGAAAAAAGAGAAGGGATATGGGAATAGAAAGGAATGAGAACGTAGAACTCAGTCCCAGACATAGACACATCTCACATTAAGAACTGGATTTTCAATCACATATTCTTGGTTAGAGTTACAAAAATTAAAAATTACGAAGACTTAAGACCAAAAGGAATACAACAAAAGATCAAAATCAGTAAAAAAAATAAAAAATCAAGCGCTTCGTGACAATTCCGCTTGGTTCTTATATTCATATTCCCTACTGGTTGCTGGTAATGGAGCTGATATCCTGCTATGTTTGCAGAATATTGCTTTTACCTAATTTTCTAGCAGGTTTTCTTTTGGAATGCAGTCAGGTTTATAAATATGCTGATTCTGCGATTCGTGATTGCTTCGGATAGCATATGATGTCGGTTCAATCGTTACGTAAGAATGACGTTAGCAGTCTCAGTCCACAGCCGTGCATAACATTGCGAAATATCGAATTCCTTTTATCTTTGAGAACATTTAGTCTGCATATTAGATAAATCGATCAAACAGTATTTAAAAAGAATATGTGATCTATCTCTATTTCATGCCTTTGTTAAGCACAAGTAGAATAATTTCACATTCAAATTTGAACATTCTCTGTTTAACTCTTGAACTTCGGAGCTTTCGGAAACGCAGGATCAAAATGACTAATGCCAATTGCGGAGTCACTTAAGACTAGAAATTGAAATATTTTTGAAATTTGAAAAAAATTTTCGGACCAATTCTATCAAAAAATGTTTTAGACATGGTTTTTAATTGATGTAATTGATATTTTTTACTGTTAATGCATAGAAAGCGTTTAGAGATCAAGTTTTTTTTTTTTTTTTTTTGAGTAAAATGATATATTTTTTAATACATTATTCGATTTAGCTCGTTATTCTCTATAAAAAGAAATATGAAACCATTTATAACAAAAACCATTAGTACAAGAAATATTCCAATTAAAATAATTCAGAGAAATGTTCGTAGAGTATCGAATTTATCTACAATAACAGCATTAGTAATAACAGGAGATTTTGTTGAATTTAATAATATTAAAAAAAGAAAAAATCTATCCTACAAAAGATAGTTTACAATCTGGCCACTTGAGGTTGGATGTACTGTAGATGCAGACAACATGCATAACCGCGTACCTGTCTCATCTTAGAAATAGAACATAATTTTAAGATTATGAGAGAAAGCGAGTAAGAAACAGAGAGAGAGAGAGAGAGAGAGAGAGAGAGATATCAATATAAGTGGAAGAGCGAACAAGAACAATATAATGAGAGCATAAAACAGTGTTATACAGAATGTAGAACAGCGTAGACTATAAAATAGCGTAGCGTAGTTTAGTATTGTATATCAGTATAGCTTATAAATCTAGTTTAGGTTTTTGTATCAATTAAAATAATTTTTTATTATCGTTAACATTGGCCTGCTTCCAATCCCACAATAATGATAATTAGTATTATTCAAACAAAAGTGTATTATTTCAGTATTATATCAACATTGTTTGAAAGTTAGTAGGTTTAGATCTTTTGATAAATATATTATAAATTATAACAGTGGTTTTTCTATTATTCCAGGACGAAGGATGGAAACTGGATCGTACAAATTACTATCAGGAAGGATGGTTGGCCACTGGTAATGCTCGTGGTCTGGTAGGAGTGACTTTTACAACGTCCCATTGTCGAACAAGAACTACGGAACTTCCACTAAGGGCAAATTACAATCTCCGAGGCCATCGTAGCGAGGTAAATTTCATTTCGCTTCCGTCCTACATGTACGTTTTATTTTTTCCTTTTTCTTGTTTATTTCCATACAAAGATGTAAATGTGACACCCGTGTCAATGTTTCTTTTCCTTTTTCACTGTTTTCCAAGCTGTTCATGTAGTTAATATTTTTTTAATTTCTTTCTATGGAAAGAATTTAAAAAGATAATTTAGGAAAAAGTTGATTTTAAAAGTTTTTGAGTTAAAGTCAAGTGTACTTCAGTTCATAAATCAAGTTGATCCGATACATGTTCAAACACCTCTCTTAGTTAATTTTACGCAGTTTTTGTTACATGTATATAATATTTATATTATAATATCTATAACAAATAAAATTACCAAATTGTTTTCATAATAGTAGTGCATAGAGTTTCATTTTCGATATGAACTTCCTACAGAAAATAATACTTGAATTTAAGCTAGAAAATTATTTTGTAACTTATTTTTAATGTCAACACTTTTTTCAATCTTCTTTCACAATTTCTTTTTGTCTGATAAATAATAATATAATTTCTTGTAATTGCAATATTGTAATTTGTATGTTTTTAACATAACCAAGAATTAAAATGCAGCATAATAAAACTCACATATTTTGTAAACATAAAACATATTATTAATGTAAAAGCACTTACATTTATATAAAAAAATTTTAATAAGTTCGTTAATAAAAAATATAACTAAGATGAAGTGATTACTGAGACATGATTTCCACCCATGTAGAATGTCAAAAAATTATTTGTTTGTATATGGAGACAAAAAATCACATTCAATCCAATGTTTTAATTGTTCAACAGATATAATCCACTCGAAACATAAATAATTTTTTCCTATAAAGAAAAAAGTCCACTACGTAATATGTTTTCAGCATATAAAATCGTAATGTAGAAATGCAATTTTGGGACTGTTTAAATATTGAAGAAAAAAAAAAGAAAAGGAAAGGATAAAGAAAAGATATATACATATATATCCGAAATCTTTTGTTATATACATACATATATAATGAAGGATTTCAGATATTAACAAATGTTATTAGATGCTGTGTATCTGACCATAGAATGTAAACACATTACAAATAAAGTAAATTCAAGAACTAATGGAATTTTAATTTTTCTTTTTTTCCAAAAATACGGTTGAGTTATAATCCATACTTCATTTGAGACTTCTTTTTCTTATGAGTAGAATATTATGCTTGCTGTCAACTTTTTAAACAGATTTTGAGCAATTTGAAAGTGTATTTTTTAGTACCAAAATTGAATAATTTAACATTCTGTATATGTTAGTATATGAAAATTGTAACGGTATAAGATATAAAAGTAATAAAAGTTGAATAATTTCTCGACAATATTTAAATCACGCACGAATATATAAGTTATCAAATCTCTGCCAAGCGACGTAACGCACAGTGGCCAATATTCTTAAAAAATGGAACAACAATAAAAAAAAATTATTTTGTAAATTAAAAATTGTTTTGTCATTTAATTTATTAGGAGCTAATTAATGCGTATTATTGATAAATTTTTCTCTACTTGATTGTATTTATAATTGAAAAATAAATATTTTTCTTTGAATATGTTCCAAATTGTTTAGAAAACTGGAAATGTTGCGTTAAAATATTACAATAATCAATAAATTCAAGTAATAAGTGCAACTTGTAATATGGTCTACAATATGAACACTGGTAACTTCTTTGAAATATATTGGAATGAATTTTTTCTTACTGAATATAACTCATTACTGCAACTGCAGAATCTAAAAGTGCGGCTTCTTGCGGTTTGCCTAGTTTTATAGGCTGAAAGCCATAAACAAACTTAAGTACTTATGAACGGAAGTACTTGCGTACTGCGGAGTTTGTGACTATTTAGTATGTTTAAGTTTAAGAACGTTGTGATACTTTAAGATCTGAGAAGAGGAATTGGGGAAGAACCAATCTAATCTAACATATACAATGATATTCATGAAATATTATCAGGCTATACTGCTGTATAAAAATAAGTATTACCCTATATATTTCAAAAAATTATTAGTGTAGTAGATATTTTAACTTCAATTTTATAAAATATATTGCTTAAAAGATAAAAATAACATGAACTCTAAAATATCACTAGTTAAATAAACATTTAGAAGATAATAAAGTTTAATATTGCTTAAATATTTCTAATCGCATTTTTCTTTTTGTAAGATACAATCAAAATATTATCGTAAGTGTGTTGTAAATATTGTAAATATTATCAATTCGTACATATTGTAAATACAAACATTGGAAAAAGTGAACATTTATATTATTTTCTGCCAAAAACGTGATTATGATGAATTTATATTTATCTCAAAATATTTCACAATCAAATTACTGAAAAAGTAGTAGAAGAATGATACATTCAACGATTATAATGTGTAAAATTATGTTGTATATTCAGAGATTTTATTATTTTTTTGATATACTTGATATACTTTATATTAAATTAAATACTTAATAAATATTTAAATAAATATAAATTAGAAAGTTATGAAAGTCATGAGTTTTATCAATTTTTTTTCATTTAATTCATAATTCTAAAGAGATAGAGAAATTCTGTGGCTAAATATAATTTCAGTATATTAAAATTTATAGAGGATAATGTGTAAGTTCAGAAAAATTTAATTGCATATTATGATGGAAAACCGCATTTTTTTAAAAATGTCAAATTTAATATAAATATTCCAGCTTAAAACTTTTACTTTTACTTCAATTTAAATTTACTTTTAATTTTCCTTAATTTGCCATATATTAACTTCAATCTAAAAAAAAGATTTATCGCTTTACTCTACTACACATATCGCTTTGCTTGTCCTTTTGTTTCTTCGGGTATCTCCAACTTCAATTACATTTGCACTGTGGATATCATGTATAAAATGTTTTTTTCTTTTTTGTTTTCCTTGCTTGTATCAGGACATTATTTCTCCTACGGAAACTTGTTTCATTCTCTTTTTTCAGACAAGCTGGCACACCTCTATTTTTTCTTGTTTTACACACTTCTATTCTTTTGAACTCCTCTGAAACACTGCTGAAATAATTATCCATGTTAATTATGTGCCCTAAATTTATGAATGGTTGTAATAATGAATGCTCCGTATTTAGTCCGTATCTCAGCACACAATAAACACTGAAATTGCAAATATAGTATAGTGATGCTTTCACACACTAAATTCGCACTAATATTCCATACTTCGTAAGTTTGGCCGGATTGTATATTCAAAATGATAGCTTTCCCCTCCAAGGAATAATACTCTCATCAAGCGACAGTTTTTTTTTTTTTTTCTAATTTGTATGTCAGAAATTTTTCCTGAAAATATGTAATGATAGATTTAATTTTATCTAATCTATCTTTACAATGTTCGTTATTGCTAAAGTGCCAGTCCATATCTGATAAAATCTATCCCTTGTCATTGTGTCAGCGAAGATTGCAAAATGAAGGATCTATAGACCAATAATCATTTCTTTCACACTTTTTTACAAAACCCAATAGAGTAATCAGGCCGAAAAATTTCTCTGTTCAAATATCAATCCAATTCTTCCTTTTATTTATTTCTGTATTACCATTGTTGATAATAATATCTATTAGATTCTATGACAAGTATGTCAATAGATTCTATGCATGATTTTATACTATTTAAATCTTCATCCGTTGTTTATATACCTGGATTCTCTTGAAAATCATGCATTTATAGAACATGCTCCAACCATTCACTATTGTCATCAAAAGTTTTATTGTTTTCGTCATCAGAATTACATGGTAGTTGAATCAATCTAAATCTTCCATTATTTTCGTTATCTTCTATTTGTTACTTCATTATCTTCTATTGACTTCATCACTATCACCATCGAAATTCGACAGAGAATCGGCGTATATATCCTCTTTAATACTCTTGCGCGCCATATTTAGTTTTGTACAATTTGAAAAAAATGTTACTCAGAATAAAATCAATGATTGACGGTTAATTTCTTTTTGATTGTGAAACGTTAAACTCATTCCCTCTGATTTTTTCAGAGGCCTCTTTTATAACAAACTTTGGGTTATCCTTTTCAAAGGACTCTGCTATCCCTTTCAAAGAATTATAGAACGGAGAATGTATTCAAGACCAATTTGGGGGGGGGGGGCAGAGAGTTCCAAAATTTCTCATTGCCATCCATGAAAATGACTGGAGAGGCATTTCTGGAAAATTGTCTTCTGAAAATTACCCCATGGCCTGCACTAATACTTCGAATACGCACGTATTCATGACATGGCAATCCCTATGATACGGAAAAATTCGTCGTACTTGAGAGTAACTTAAATTTATGGGGCGCCTAGTAGGAATTCTCTAAGTAGTCTGTGAGAAATTTAAATACAAATGTTCGAAAATTTCTAAACTGACACGCTGAGTTTGGAACACATCCATGTTATAAGTGATACCATTGACCTAGAATGGAAAGAATTATACTTACCATTAGTGATAAAATTAGTTTCTTTACACTTTATTGATTCTTTATACTTTACATAAACATAATATACTATATCCTGAATACACATTGTAATGAATGAAATCACAATCGCACGGAACCTCGCTGAAAAGTCTTGACAGCTAAAGTTACGCATACGTGATCGCTGCCGAAAAAGTGTTGAGAAAGAATGAACAAAAGTATTTGGTATTGCTGACTGAGAGATTCTAATGTTCATACATAATTAGACAAATTTTATTTAAAATAAGGATAAAAAATAAAAATTTGAAATAATGAATAATTTTCATTAATTTATTTTTATTTTAAAAATAACATAATAAAAAGTATCCCGTATTCAAATAAATTATTTGCAAATTTTTTATCTAAGCTAATTCAAAGTTTTAAATAAAATAACAATTAATCGCAGCACAAAATTTTACCTACAAGCATGAGCAAAGTTTTACTCAACATTTGCACGAGCAAAGTTTTACTCAACAGTATCTATTGCGTATCTAACATAAACTAT